CTGATGGAGCACCTCCACCTCCAACTCCACAAACCGTTGCTGGAGGGACCCCCTTCCCACAGGCCTGTGGGGGCAACAGGGGGCTACAGAGGTGGGTGAGGCCTCCAGGTCAGATTCCAAGGGTCCATTGGGATAGCCCCACCACCCCACCCCACCCCCACCACCTCTAGCAGCTCCTGCCTCTGGGAGCCATAGGCTGTCAGACTCAGAAGGGGATCAGAGGTGAAAAGAGAGGTGAGGAGAGAGACAAGGAAAAGGGGACAAAACATGTCACATGACACCCAGCAGCACAGGGGGGTGGGGAGCAAAAAAGGAAAAAAAAAACAACCCTCTGTTTCACATGTGAAACTCAACAAAATCACTGACACTGGAGGAGGCTACAGAGAGGAGGGTTAGAGAGAAAACCCAGCAAACAGCTGCTAATAGAGGCAGGGGGTCCTGCCCTGTCCCCAGGAGCTGGGCTCTGCCAACAGGCCAAGACCAGGGGGACCCTTCACATGCAGCCCAGGCAATGCCTGGGCCTGGGCCCCACCTTGGAAACGTGCACCCATACTCTCCATGCACCCACACATCCAGCTACTCCCGCACCCCTCACCCCATCCTACCTTCCCCGGCCCCCAGGGACCAAAGGGCACATCAGACATAGTCCCATTGGTTTGAAAATAGAAGGAATCTTATATTTAACTAGAGGCCTGGTGCACAAAATTCATGCACGGTGTGTGTGGGGGGGGAGGGGGGCCCCTCAGCCTGACCTGCACCCTCTCCAATCCAGGACCTTTCAGGGGATATCCAAATGCCGGTTTAGACCCGATCACACAGAAATTGGGCCGAAACCGACAGTCGGACATCCCTCTCGCAATCTGGGACCACTGGCTCCTAACCGCTCACCTGCCTGCCTGCTTGATCATCCCTAACCACTCTGCCTGCCTTTCTGATCAGCCCTAAACCACTCTCCCCTGCCTGCCTGATCACCCCTAACTGCTCTCCTCTGCCGGCCCGATTGCCTCTAACAGCCTCTGCCTCAGCTCCTGCCACAGTGGCTTTGTCCAGAAGGATGTCCGGAAGACGTCCAGTCTAATTAGCATATTACCTTTTATTAGTATAGATATTTTAAGAGCAAAAACAATGTTTTAAAAAGTATGAGCAGGGGATGGGCGCTGGGAGCCCTGCCGTGGGATGGAGTGGGGAGGGACAAAAGGGCAGCAGCAGCCAGCCTACTCCCCTGGTCCCACTGCCTCTCTTCTCTTCGCTTATTTTAAAACAAAACTTCCCCACATTCACACACACACACACACACACACACGCACCTGTGAGCCCCCAAACCTCTCCCCCTCCCCTCAGAGACTCTGGGTCTGTGCCCCTCACCCAGGACCTGCCCCACTCAGGTCTGAGGGGCCTGATGGGAAGAGAGGCTGAGTACAGGGTCGGGGGGGGGGGGGGGGAAGGGTGCTGGGCGCACCACCGCCTGCCCCCTTAGAGGGGTTGAGATCCATCGTGCAATGTCTCTGAGCCCAGGTTTCCTCACCTGTCACAGGAGGGTCCCCACAGCCTGGCCCACCCCAGCCCCAGGGGCAGGGACAGACCAAGGAGACAGGAAGGTGCTTTGGGAAACATGGAAGCACTGGGAGGGGGTGGCAAGAGGGTCCCGAGCACCCCGGGCGCCTGCCAGTCCCATGGGGCTGCTGGGAAGGGTGGCGCAGAGGACTGCCCTGCCTACCCCTCCCCTGCCCCACCTGGTTGAGGGGAATGGGAGACAATGGCTCCGGGTTAGGAGAAGGGGAGCCAGTACTCCCTGACTGTGCACGAGTGTGTGTGTGTGTGTGTGTGAGAGAGAGAGAAGAGAGAGAGAGAGAGAGAGAGAGAGAGAGAGAGAGAGAGAGAGAGAGAGAGAGAGAGAGAGAGAGAGAGAGACCAGAGCTCACACCACTGCCGCCCTTCCCAGCCCACTGGGACCGGGCTCAGGGGTGGGACAGACAACAGCTCGTGACCAAGATGGTGGGTGGGTGGGTGACAGGAGGGGGAGTGTGAGGCCGCATGGAGGGCTGGGTGGGGGTGGCTGGGGGGCCTGGGCTGCGGACCAGCCTCGCAGTCATGGCGGCCTGTTTCACAGTTGCACTCCACGCCCATCATGGCTGCCGCCCACTGCCCCCCCCCCCGACACTGAGGAAGGGGGTGCGGGTGTCGCCCTCAGGCGGCTTCTCCTTGGGGACCCAGCTCTTCCACACGACGCGGCGGGCAGGGGCGCACACGTCGACCGCCGTGGCATTCATGTCGCTCTCCCTGACGTTCGGAGCCCAGTCCCGGCAGGTGTCCTTGGCAGCAGGGGGGACGCGACTGTCCGTCCGGCTCCCTCTGGGGTCGCTGGTGGAGGAGCGGGTGCCGGCGCCGCCGCTGAGAGCCGGTGTGTCCGGAGCAGGAGGCCGGAGGCGCCGCAGCAGGACCCGGGGCCGGTGCCCGCGCGGACAGGGCAGGCCCTGAGCTGGGCCCTGGGGACGCACATGGGGGCCTGTCACCCGCTCTGGCTGCTCAGAGGGGGCGCCCTCCTCCTGGCACTGGGGGCGGCGGCGGGGACCGATCTGCTGGGTGAGCTCGGCTGGGAGAGACGCCACGTCTGGCCGCACCCGGAGGCGATTCGGGTTCAGGGGTCACCTGCTCAGGGAGGGCCTCCCCCTTCTGGGCCCCGGGGCCGCCATGCGTCCTGCTGTGCGCGGTGCACACGGCGCAGACCTGCCGGGCTGCTCTCTGCCCTCCTCGCCCTCCTCACTGTGACGGCGCCAGGCTGTCCTGGGACAGGCGCGGAGGGACCAGGGCGGGCCGCGGGGACACGCTGGGCCGCTCACCGCGCCCCCTGCCGCCGCCGCTGCCGCCCAGGCCTCCCCGGTGGCGGGCGGCCAGGTCCCAGGTGGGGAAGCGGCCACCTTCCGGCCGCCATGGCCGCCGCTGCCCCCACCCGCCTCCTCCTGCCTGCGGCCCCCAGCGAGGGGCGGTGGCCGCCCAGCTCCAGGTCTCAGCCCAGGGCTGGGGGCCGGACGGCGGGGCCTCCTGGGCAGGGGCCCTGGGAGTGGCCACTGGGAGTCTCCCTGGAAGGTGGGGGGCCAGCACCGCGTCCTGGGGCCCGGCCGGGGGTCGCCGGCACACCCCCGTCCCCCGCGGGCTGCGGGTGCGGCTGCGGGAGCCCCGCCCCGGGAGGGAGAGAAGCGCTGGGAGGTGCGGGCTCTGTGTGGGAAGCGCGCTCCTTCCCGGGTCCCTCCAGTCCAGCGCCAGGAGGAGTGCTCGGGACTGGGGGGACCTGGGCTGAGCCCTGGGAAGGTGGCCCCGCGTCACGTCCTATTAACTCCTGAGGGAAGGGAAGGCCCCCACCGACGGACCGGGAGCCTCCTTTGATGGGGACCCGCCTCAGAGTCAGGGGGGCCGCGTCCCAGACGCCAGGTGCGGGAGGAACCCCCAGGGGAGCGCCCCCCTCCCCCGCCCTGCGCCCGGCTGCCCACGCGTCCTCTTCACTCGGACACGGCCGGTGGGCCCCGCGTGTTCCCATCAGGTCATCGCTGGGGCCGCGGGGCCCGGGCACAGCGACTGCGCAGGCGCCCAGGACCTCGCAGGGCCTCCGGGGCCTTCACAGCGGTCCCGCGGCTCCCCCTCTCCCTTCCCCCTCCTTTCCGCAGCCGCTTCCAGCCAACCCTCTCTTTTCATTTTTAATATATTTCCATTGATTTCAGGAGGAAGGGAGAGGGACAGAAACATCAATGGTGGGAGAGAAACATTGATGGGCTGCCTCCTGCACGCCCCCCACCGGGGATGGAGCCTGCAACCCTGCAGGTACCTCACCAGGAATAGAACCCTGGCCTCCTGGGTCATAGGTCAATGCTCAGCCACTGAGCCACACCGGCCTGGCCCATGTTTATGTTACAGAATGGATGACACAGACACTGGGATTGCTGAGATTTGGTGAACTGGCTCACACTTTCTCAAACATGAACGTGAGCTTCTCCCTTCAGGAAATATCACCTGGCAGCTGACAACTGACAGTCCTGTTGTCCTGATACAATGTCAGCCCCCAAGAGAAAACCAGAATGTTGGAACAGGTGTGTCCCACCACGTGAGCCAGACCGCTCCCCAGTGCTGACAGCTTTTCTAGGGGGCTCTGTGGGAACAGCAACACCTGTTAGCTTTGATGACGTCATTAAATGCATCAGCACCGGAAGGTCTCTGGGACTTAGAGACACAAAGCATCACTTTACATCACCTGCATGAGGACCAGAGCCACCCAGCGAGACAGCCCTGGGGACGGTGACAGAACAGAACAGGAACTATTCAATATCCCCCAGCCAGCGGCCTCGGTGGTGGAACATTGACCTATAAACCAGGAGGTCACAGCTCACCTCGTTGTCAGGGTTCCATCCCCAGTTAGGGTGTGAAGGAGGCAGCCCATCAATGGTTCTCTTTCATCATTGATGTTTCTCTCTCTCTCTCTCTCTCTCTCTCTCTCTCTCTCTCTCTCTCTCTCTCTTTCCCTCTCCCTTCTTCTCTGAAATCAATATAAAATATACTTTTTAAAAACATGACTCCTGTTACCATCTCACAGGCAGTGAGCAGGCGACGTGGATTAATAACTGTCTCACCCTGTGTGATCCGTGAGGGTCACTATGATGACGTCACCACACACACAAGGTTCTCTGGGCGCCTGCCTGTGTGTGAGGCCGCACAGAGATGGTGACACCAAAACCTTGGAAAGTCCCTGAACAGCACAGCGCCCGGGCCAGGCCTCGGGGACAGGGTGACGGGCGCCCCGCGCGGGAGGAGGGGCAGGACCGAGTCCCAGGGCCCAGGCCTGCGCTCAGGGCTCCGCAGGGACAGAGTCTGGGTCGGGGATGCTCAGGGTGCGGGCTCCACATTGACCTGGGTTTCACTTCTCCTCTCCCAACCTGTGTTGGCGCCTCCGTCCTGGAGACTCCTGACGCGGCCCCACTTCTCACTTCCATTGGCTGAGCGGTTCCAGAGCAGCCAATCAGCGTCCCCGCGGCTCCCAGTTGTAAGCCCTCTGCAGAAGCGCGGGGACTCAGATGGTCCCCCCGACGCCGAGGATGCGGGTCCTGAGCCCCCCCACCCTCCTCCTGCTGCTCTCGGGGGCGCTGGTCCTGACCCCCAGCTGGGCCGGTGAGTGCGGGGTCGGAGGGGGCGGCGGGGCGGGGAGCAGCGAGGGGACCCGGCGGGGGCGCGGGGCCGGGAAGGCGCGTGTCCAGCCCCGGCCCTGCCCCCCGTCCGCCCCCCAGGCCCCCACTCCCTGAGGTATTTCCGCACCGCGGTGACCCGACCCGGCCGCGGGGAGCCCCGCTTCTTCGCCGTCGGCTACGTGGACGACACGCAGTTTGTGCGGTTCGACAGCGACGCCCCGAATCCGAGGATGGAGCCGCGGGCGCCGTGGATGCAGCAGCCGTGGGTGGAGGAGGTGTACCCGGGGTATTGGGAGGAGGAGACGGAGACCAGCAAGACGAACGTACAGAATTACCGACGGAACCTCAACATCCTGCGCGGCTACTACAACCAGAGCGAGGACGGTGAGCCGCGCGCCGGCCCCCTCACGACCCCCCTCCCCACGGACGGGCCGGGGTCGCCCCGAGGGTTCGGGTCCGAGCGTCACCCCAAGGGGCTGACACGTCCGGCTCCCACCCGGGAGGAGCCCGAGGGGACTTTGACCCGAAGTCACTTTCAGTTTTAGATTCAGTCCCCGCGGGGCGGGCAGGGCGGGAGGGGGCGGGGGAGGAGGAAGGCTGCGCTCCGGCCCGGATGCCCTCGAGGCGGGGTTGACCGCGGGGCGGGGCTGACCGCGGGGCGGGGCTGACCGCGGGGCGGGGTCAGGGTCTCACACCTTCCAGTGCATGCTTGGCTGCGACATGGGACCAGATGGGCGCCTCCTCCGCGGGTACAGTCAGTGGGCCTACGACGGCGCCGACTACATCGCCCTGAACGAGGACCTGCGCTCCTGGACCGCGGCCGACATGGCGGCTCAGATCACCAAGAGCAAGTGGGAGGCTACCCGTTTCCATGAGCGTAGGAGTAACTACCTGGAGGGGGAGTGCATGCAGTGGCTCCGCCTTTACCTGGAAAAAGGGAAGGAGACCCTGCAGCGCGCAGGTACCAAGGGCCCTGAGATCGCCCCCTCTCCCCAGAACTGGGGTTCCTACAAGGAGACAGGACAGGGGGTCAGTGTCAGACACCCCTCCTTGGGGTCAGGGAGGGAGCCCCCCTGGATCTCCAGGTCAGGTACCAGAGGGCCACCCTCCTATAAAGGACAGTTAGGAGTGCAGGTTCTCCTGGGGTGCAGGGAGACCCCCCCTGAAATAGCCCATCAGCTATTGGAACCCACGGGGACCTTCTCTCTCAGGCCTTGTGCGCTGCCCACACCCACTGTGTCTAAGGCCTCACCCCAGCTTTTCTGAGTCACGTGGCCTCCACCCAGGTCAGGACCACAAATCCCTTTTCTCCCCTCAGAGACCTGCCTCCTGCCCTGGGCTGTGTCTCTCTGATTCTAGAACTTTCTAAAGACTAGGAGGTCCTTCCAGGTGCCTCTGTCCAGGCTGATGTGTGGGCTGTGTGCTCCCTCCCCCACCCCAGGTGGCTGTCCATTCTCAGGATGGTCACGTGGGTGCTGCTGGAGTATCCATGGCGGATGCAAAGTTCCTGCATTTTCTCCCCTCCCCTCAGACCCTCCAAAGGCACACGTGACCCACCACCCCGTCTCTGAGCGTGAGGTCACCCTGAGGTGCTGGGCGCTGGGCTTCTACCCTGCGGACATCAGCCTGACCTGGCAGCGTGACGGGGAGGACCAGACCCAGGACATGGAGCTGGTGGAGACCAGGCCTTCGGGGGACGGCACCTTCCAGAAGTGGGCGGCCGTGGGGGTGCCCCCTGGAGAGGAGCAGAGATACACGTGCCATGTGCAGCACGAGGGGCTGCCCGAGCCCCTGACCCTGAGATGGGGTGAGGAGGGGCCGTGGGCACAGAGCCTCTTCTCAGGGCAGCAGGGGCCCTGGGGGACCTCAGTGGGGTCGGGGCTGAGGCCTGGGGTCAAGGCCCTCACCCTCCCTTCCCTTCTCCTCCCAGAGCCGCCTTCTCACACCTTCATCTTCATCATCATGGGCATCGCTGGGGGCCTGGTTCTTCTGGGAGCCGTGGCTGGAGCTGTGATGTGGGGGAGGAGGCGCTCAGGTGGGCAAGGGTGGGGTCTGAGTATCTGTCCCACTGGGGGATCAAGCCCAGGTAGACGTGTGTCCCGCCTCATTCATGGGAAGCACCCTCCCCACGTGTGTGCTGGCCAGTGTGGGTTCTGTGCTCACACTCTGTAGTGAGGCCCGTGGGATAATGGGGGACCCACTTATCACCTGATGATGCTGGTGGTGGGGACCCCCTTCCCAGCAGCCCCAAGTCAGAGGGCAGGTCTCTGCTGAGCACAGACCTCCAGAAGGGCAGTGGGTCCAGTCCCCACACATGCACTTCCCTCAGGTTTCCTGGTCCTGCCCTGGGTCTATAAACAGGGTTCTGGAAACTTCTCTGGGGCCCAGGACTAGGGCTTCCTTTAGGACCTCATGGCTCTGCCTCTTCCCTGGTCTCTCACAGGATCTTTTCTTCTCACAGGTGCTAAAGGAGGGAGCTACGCTCAGGCTGCCAGTGAGTATGGAGAGGTGACCCCTGAGTCCCTGGGACAGAGCATTCATGAGCCCATGGGGTCCTCACCCCCAAAGTTCCTCCTTAGTTTCCTGTCCTAGGGTTCTGATCCCGTCCTCGTGTGTCCCTCCTGCCAGGCAGTGACAGCAGCCAGGGCTCTGATGTGTCTCTCTCGGCTTCTAAAGGGGAGACCGTGACGTGGGGAGGGGTGGGCAGAGGGGAGGACTTGGTGGTGGGGAGTCTGTGGGACACCGTGAGCATGAAGTGGGCTTTGAGAATGTCACCAGTTACAGCCACTGACCTGAATGTGTTCATGATGCTTGTCCTCCACAGCGTGAGGCAGCTGCCTTGTGGGACTGAGTGATGGAAGATGTATTCACACTCCCACTTCCTGACTCAACAACCAGCCCTGCTCCCCATATCACCTTCCCTAGCCGCCCCCTCCCCCATCCCAATGTCTACATGACTCCACAGGAGACCAGGACACAGTCATACACTGGACCCTGTTCCCTTGTTCCTGAATGGACAACGAAAATGATGTCCTTTATTTTTGTGTGGCTTATCCCCGGGAGAAGTTGTTCTTACATACAGACAGGATTCAGGGAAGGTGGTACCTAGGACAGATAGAGGGACACCATCAGAACTCTTAACACTGAGGTAAAGGCAAAAGAACACATCAAAAATTGGGCAGAATAATAAAGAGAAAATTTATACATGAAAAGACCCTGAGTCATAGGAAATGTTCAATATGGCAAGTCATTCAATTCATTGGTTGTTGAGATTGCTTGAAATATTCTATATATTTTGCATTTTCATACTCTTTTTAGAAGAAGGTTTCCAATGGCACCATTGACAATACCATCAATACCAGTAGGATGGGATCATTATTGCCATTTATCAACTGTTTAGATCAAGGTGGGGTCTTTGACCCCATTTAAGACCTGCAAAACATTTGGTCTGGCCCTGCCAAGGGATTAGAGCTAAGTCAGTTGTTTGGCCAAATATAGCAGGCTAATTATTTTTTTAAACGTACTGGGGGTTTTTTATGGTTTTTTAAAAATATATTTTTATTGATTTCAGAGAGGAAGAGAGAAATGGAAACATCAAAGATGAGAGAGAATCTGGTCGGCTGTCTCCTGCATGCTCTTACTGGGGATTGAGCCTGCAACTTGGGCATGTGTCTTGACCAGAATTGAACCCAGGACCCTTCAGTCCACAGGCCAACTGTGCCTGTCCACTGAGCCAAACCAGGTAGGGCTAGCAGGCTGGCTTCTAAGCTGATAGTTTTGTATGGCCTGTGAATGATGCTATAAACATCCAACCGGCCCTTGGCAGAAAAAAGGTTCCCACCCTTGGTTTAGTTCAACTAGGCACGTGTGGTAGCAGCGAGTATGTCTCTGTACCTTCCTCTCAATTCTACTGTCGACATAAACTGCTCTAAAAAAATAAAGCTGGTTGCCCTGGCCCATATGGCTCAGTTGGCTTGCATTGTCCTATACACCACATGGCTGCTGGTTTAGTTACTGGTCAGGGCACATGGCCGGGATTGGGAGCATGCAGGAGGCAGCCAATCAATGTTCCTTTCTCTCCTCTCTCATATTTCTTCTTTCTCTAAAAATTAATTTTAAAAATCTAAATAAGAATACATATTAAAAATAAAATTTATTATATATTTTTTAATATTACACTCAACGTAAATCAAATCCCATGTAGGGTCAAGAGGCATGAATGTTATATGTACAGGCAAAGGGGAACCGGGCAATGTTGAATTATGACAGGTGTTTATGTGTGCTTGCCAAGGAAAACATTGAATTAAGCTGGGTGGATACATTTGAAAAAGATAATACTAATATTTTAAAAAGCTAGTTAGGGTGTCCTACATGAAAGGAGGAGTGGGGATTTGGAAACGTAATTTCTATTAGACCAGAAACTGGTCAAATCTAAATATTGGAGGGGCACAGCAGCCTCACTGCGGAGGGACCGGCCCTTTATATCTCCCCTGAAATTTAAAAGTAGAACATCTATAATTGAGCAAAGTTTCCTCTGCTCAACGCACACACACACACACACACACACACATACACATACAGGCACGCCTGAGAGGTCCATACAGTAGGCCATTTCCTCAAAAATTAAAAACGAGCCCTAGCTACAAACAAAACAAATAAATAAGAGCCCTAGCTGACTTGGCTCCATGGATAGAGTGTTGGCCTGTGGACTGAAGGGTCGGGGTTCAATTCCTGGTCAAGGGCACAAGCCTGGATTGCAGGCTCCATCCCCAGTGGGGGGGGGGGGGCGTGCAGGAGGTAGCAGATCCAGGATTCTCTCTCATTGTTGATGTTTCTGTCTCTCCCTTTCCCTTCATCTCTGAAATCAATAAAAATATTTTTTTAAAAAAAAATTTAAAATGACTTTCCTTTTGCGCCCAGCACTGTGACTGTTGCCTCCTCTCCCAAACCCCGCCGGGGCCTAGGGCCCTGGGCTGAGACAGGGCAGTGGGATGGGTGGTGGCGAACTTGGCTCCTTTCCCGGGGGGGGGGGGGGGGGGGGGGCAAGGGCGGGCTCCTTCCTCCCCTTTTTTTCCACCCCCTCCGAGGAACCAGGTCGACCAGCACTCCCAAAACCGCTGGCACAGGGCGGTGGTAGGGACTGATGGTTGCCAGGTCAACCAGATGGCCGGGTCCGGACTTAGTCTTCAGCAGTAGTGGGGACCATGAGAGACAGGGTCGACCAGATGGCTGTGCTGGACTTTGTCTCTAGTGGCAGGTCAGAGTGATTGGGTTGACCAGTTGTCTGTGGAGATGAGAGACTGGCAATTGAGTGGGGATGGGGGGGGGGGGGGGGCCGCGGGAGGTGGGGCCGGGAGCAGGGGTAGGGCCAGGCCGAAGAGCAAATAAATGTGGACAGAATTTTATTTTTTATTTTTTTTAAATATATTTTATTGATTTTTTACAGAGAGGAAGGGAGAGGGATAGAGAGTTAGAAACATTGATGAGAGAGAAACATCGATCAGCTGCCTCCTGCACACCCCCTCCTGGGGATGTGCCCGCAACCAAGGTACATGCCCTTGACCGGAACCGAACCCGGGACCCTTCAGTCCGCAGGCCGACGCTCCATCCACTGAGCCAAACCAGCTAGGGCTGTGGACAGAATTTTAAAAAAATTAGCCCTGACTGTTTTGGCTCAGTGGGTAGAGCGTCGGCCTGTGGACTTAAGGGTCCCAGGTTCGATTCTGGTCAAGGGCATATACCTTGGTTGTGGGCACATCCCCAGTAGGGAGTGTGCAGGAGGCAGCTGAATTGATATTTCTCTCTCATCAATATTTATAACTCTCTATCCCTCTCCCTTCCTCTCTGTAAAAAATCAATAAAATATATATTTTTTTAAATTAAACTGCCTTTTGACCCAGGGATTCCACTTCTGGGAATACATCCAAAGAAACCTGAAACACTTATTTGAAAGAATATATGCACCTTTGTGTTCATTGCAGCACTATTTACAACTAGAGGCCCAGTGCACAAAATTCATGCACTGGGGGGGGGGGCGTCCCTCAGCCCTGCCTGTACCCTCTCTCAGTCAGGGACACCTCAGGGGATGTCTGCCCACTGGGGGGATTGGGCCTAAGTTGGCAGTCAGACATCCCTCTCACAGTCTGGGTCTCTCACAGTTTGGGACCCCTCGCTTCTTACCGCCCACCTACAGCAGAGGCAGGAGAGGCTCCCGCCACTGCTGCTATATTCGCCAGCCATGAGCCTGGCTTCTAGCTGAGCAGTGCTCCCCCCTGTGGGAGCGCACTGACCACCAGGGGGCAGCTCCTGCATTGAGCGTTGGCCGCTGGTCATCAGTGCATATCATAACGATTGGTCTTTCCACCATTCGGTCGATTTGCATATTAGGGTTTTATTATACAGGGTAGGCAAGATTTAGAAGCAGCCTAAATGTCCATCAGTAGATGAGTGGATAAAAAAGCTGTGGTCCATTTACACCATGGAATACCACTGAGCTGTTAAAAAAAAAAAATGAAATCTTACCTTTTGTGACAGCATGGATGAGCCTAGGGATTATTATGCTAACTGAAAGAAGCCAGTCAGAGAAAGACAAGTACCATAAGATTTCACTTATATGTGGAATCTAATGAACAAAATAGAAACAGACTCATAGATAAAGAGGACAGACTGACAACTGTCAGAGGTGAGGGGGTTGAGTGAAAACAGTGAAGGAATTAAGTGAAGAAAAGAAACTCATAGACCTAGACAACAGTATGGTGATTGCCAGAGGGAAGGGGGAGGTCGAGGAGGTAGGAGAGGGTAAAGGGGGAATAAATGGAGATGGAAGGAGACTTGACTTGGGTTGTTGAACACACAATACCATATACAGATGATGGATTACTGTCCACCTGAAACTAACTAGTATATAATTTTATTAACCAACGTCACCCTAATAAATTCAATTAAATGTTTTTTTAAAATATATGTACCCCTAAAAATGATATGTACCCATATGTTCGTTACAGCACTATTTACAATAGCCAAGACATGAAACAACCTAAGTGTCCATTGACAGGTGACTAAAGATGACATGGTATGTATATGTATATGTATATGTATATGTATATGTATATGTATATGTATATGTATACAGGGTGGAGTAAAAGTAAGTTTACAGTTGTGAGTACACAAAACACAGTTTATTCTTATATTATTATTTATTAATTATATTTTTCCATATAAACAACTGTAAACCTACTTCTGCCCCACCCTATATGCATATGTGTGCATATACAATTGCATTGTCTATGCACGTGTGTGCGCACGCACACACACACACAATGAAATGCTATTCAGACATAAACAAAGATAAAATATTGTGTTTGATGGCAACACGGATAGATCTTGAGAGTACTATGTTAAGTAAAATAAGTCAGGTCAAAAAGAACAAAAAATATTATTGTACTCATATGTGGAATATAAAACAAAAAGAAACTAGCAAAACAAACTCATAGATACAGTAACAGAATGGTGATCACCAGCGGAAGAAGAGAGTGGGGAGGGCCAAATATGTGGTGACAGAAGGAAACTAGACTCTGGGCACTGAGCACACAACAGGATGGACAGATATCAAATGGTAATGTTGTCCAACTGAAAGTTATATCATGTTATTAGCCAATGTTACCCCCAAAAATTGAATCTTTAGAAAATCTAATTTGAGCCCAGCCGGAGTGGCTCAGTGGTTGAGCATCAATCTGTGAACCAGAAAGTCACGGTTCAATTCCCAGTCAGGGCACATGCCCGGGTTGCAGGCTCCATCCCCAATAAAGGGCCTGCAGGAGGCAGCCGATCAACAATTCTCTCTCATCATTGATGTTTCTCTCTCTCTCTCTTTCCCTCTCTCTTCTTCTCTGAAATCAATACAAATACATATTTTAAAAAATCTAACGAAACCAGAGAACTAAAAACGTCATGTTTGGGTGGATGTTTGCTGTCGCGATAACGATGAAATCTAAAACCCACGGACCCATGTAGCATCACTTCTCCGTCAGAGGTGTCCGAGGATGGTGGTTCCCTCAAACCCATGCCCGCGTTCGAAGACATCCATGGAGACAGTGAAGACATGCTTTCCAAAGTGTGTAGCCCTTTAATGTATTTGTTCTTCTAAGCGTTACCAGGTGGGGTGGGAATTTCAGGGATGGGGGATTGAGGTCTTGGGCACAAACAGCAGGTC